ATTAAGTAGAAATTAATAAAAATAAAATGTAAATTTGAATTTAAAAAAATTTGTTCTTATTTGTTTGAAAATAATTTTAGAACAAAATGGAATTTAGTAAATTTTTGATTACCAAAATATCTACAATTAAAAACAGCTCAGAAATTCTACAATATGTAAGTAATTTTCATTGATTGTAATAAAAGTTGGTCTGAATTTAAATTTATTAACTATATTGCACAATTTTAAATTAAACCTGTTAAAATTCTTAATGGTTTTTTACAATTTTTTGCTTTAGAATATCCAAACTATAACATTAATATTTTCATTTCAAATTATATTAGAATAAATACAATTTTTTTTTTTAATAATTTCATTAGTTTTGCAAACAATATAGAAATTTTTACATAATTATAATAGTATAGTTGAAATTTATGTAGTTTTACATTTACATAGACCTTTTATTTTTATTATATATTTATAATTATTTTGCACTACTCGTACTATTAGATTTTAAATTTATTACAATCATACTTTTTTTTTTTTTATTTTACTTCAATTCACATTTTATCATTTTTGTTGAGCGTGTATAAAATATTTTATGAGTACTTTTTATAATATATAAGTTTTCTAATATTAAAGTTAAAATGAAAATTTAAATTAAATTATTCATAATATTTGAATTAGTATAATTATAATGATATATTGTATATAATAATATAATTTTATAGCTAATGAAGTCAAAATATATATACGGTGTGATAATTCAGACAAAAATTTTAAATATTCAAAATTTTAGGCTTTTAATTAATTTTTTTTTTTAATAATTTTTATTTAATTAAATTTAATTTATTGTTTTATTTATTCCCTTTTATATATATATATATTTGTTTTTAATTTTTTATTTTATTTATTTGAAATTCTTTAATGACTTGTTAATTATTACAGATGAGTTTAAGAAAGGCGTTTAGATTGTCAATTTTTAATATTCATACATACATATATATATATATATATATATATATATATATATATATAAATATATATTTATTTTATGTACATTTGTATATATAATTTTACTTAAAATACATTATATTTGAATACGGTAATATTAAAGAATTGTGTTTGAAAAGTTTAAATTTCTTTTCTTCTTACGTTAAACGAAAAAAATGATCTATAATGCGATTTTTAAATTAATTTTCATTTCAATTAGATTTAATTATTAATTTAAAACAATAATCATGAAAATTTTAAGTATGTATTTATGATAGTAATTGTAACTACCATTATAGAGAATACCAAGTATTTATTGCACCACACCTCTGTAATTCCATATGCTTTAAACATAATTTTGAGATTTAAAATACTTTTTAGTTAAATAAGCTATTGCTAATAACATATCAAATTAGTCAATTCGAATTGAAATACAAAATAATTTCACAAGTAACAAATCAATTTTCATAATAAAATTTATAAAATCGCTTGTTTGCTGCAATACTTACATAAATCAAAATGTCGCTTGTTTGGTGCAACACTTACATAACTTAAAATGTACATATTTGAGAAAATCTTTAAAATTTAAAGTTTTTGAGTTAATAATATGTTCTTTCTGTTCTTTAGCCTTATTTTATAATTATTATTAGCGATAATTTTCGAAGTAGAGAATTGACGTTTTTACATAAAAACGAAATGTTTTAAGTGGTTATTTCAGTATAAATAACTCAAAAATTGTACTTTTTGAGTTAAATCACTGTTGTATTAAATAAACAAATATAATGAATGAAAATATACATATATATATTTTAGAACGCTTAGGACAATATTTCACGTAACATTGATAAATGCCGTGTGGAATCGTTTTACTTCTAGGGATTTTTATTGATATTAGAATTGACAAAAAAAAAATTGAAAACAATGTTTTTGAGCAGATAATATTAATAACCCCAAATTGACTTTAAAGAAATAATCTTTTCAAATATAATTTTCATTAGTCTTAAGCTCAAACATCATAGGTTTATAATGTTTACTAAATTTTTAGTTATAATAATAATTTCCTTGCAGAATAAAAGTTACAATGTGTTGTTAATATAATAACAATATTAAAATTCTAGCTTTATATGAATTAGCAAAATGTAAAGTGGAATTAAAAAAATTTAGATGGTTAGTTTTTTTTTCTATTCTAAAATTTATATTCAGCTTTATTCTACAAGACACTTTGCCCATAAAAATGTAGTCATAATTTGTCACAAAAAGCGTTCGGAGTATTATTGTCTTATAGAAAAATTTTTAAAAATGACGAATTTTTTGTCACATTTGATAACGTCTATTTTGTTGTCGAGAAATCAAAATAGAGAAAATGTGAGTATAATTAGATATTTTAACAATAATGTTAGCTAGCTTTCCTAATTCCTGCTTAAAAATAACTATAATCGGTAGCAATTTAAAATTTTAATTAAGTTAATAGAAAATTCGCTTCTTATTTCGCGTCTTGTAGAATACCAAACCAAAAAAACAAAAGGGCCGTAACAAAAAAATGTGACAGTCACAAATGTGATGCGTCTAGTAGAAAAATCGGCCTTGATATCATCGTGTCGCCCCGTATGAACTTATTTTAAAACATTTTGATGGATTTTCAATGACCGTGTACATTACAACTTGTAGGAAAATATTTTTTGTAAGCTAATATCAAATTTTTTGGAAAAAATCACCATAATTCTTAAAAATACTTAAACTTGGCTTATTTTTATTTTGGTTTTTGAAAATATTTGATTCTATATTCTTTTATAATGTATTTTACAAATGTACATAGAATTTTAAAAATATTTTATTGTTATTTTAAAAGTTTTATTTTTTAATTATAGTTTTTAATTTAAATGTTTTCTTCTTTGTTTGCTGCTATTTTAAAATAAAATTCGATAACTTTGTTTTAAGGTATAGATTTTCGTTTTAAATTTTTTTATTTGATTTGTTTATTTTAGTTTTTACATTTTTTATATAATTTTTTTTTATTGTTTTTCTTTTAAATTTCATTTAATGGGGTTTTTCTACTTAATATTTAAAATTATTGAAATAAAACTTATATTCTACGATTAAGTATAAAATTGTTTCTTTTTTTTTCTTTGTTTTTGTTTTTAATATGTATTATCGTATTAATAATGTATGTATAAAAGATTTTAGTAAATATTTTAAATTTATAAATTATGAATATTAGGAAAATACGATAATTTATCTTAAAAGGTTAACAAAATTATAAGTAGAATTTTTTTTTAAATTAAAATTTAATTTTGTTGATTCAAAAAAAAAAGTAATTAAAATTTTTAATGTTTAAATTTATTTTACATGAACTGTTAAAATTGCAGTTTAATATAACATATTATTTAATTTAATAATAATATGAAATTTAAACGACAATTGCTTGTAAATTAATTACTTTTATTATGTGGATGTCTATATATGTACATATAGTTTTATTTGAATTATTTTTTGATTTCCTTTAATTGACTAAGTAAATAATTTTCGGAGTTTAATTTGAAAATTGCTAAATATGTGTTTCTACATGCATCCGTAATCCCTTGACTTCTACATTGTAAAAAATAAATTTTCTGAAAAATCTCTAAAAGTCTAAACTTTTATTTTTTTGCTTTAGTTAATCTGCATTATAAAAAGCTTACAAAATATTGTGTTTTGCGTTATGGAACATGCCTAGTTCTGATTAATGTAGAAAAAAATGCTTTAAAAAGCTCACGGTATGGTAAACAAATTTACATTATTGTGACCATACCGTTACAAATTATAATAGCTGATTACATTTTTGTAAAATTTTTGTAGATTTTTGTACCAAATGTTGAAGTATTTTAAATGTGAAATTTTATGCCTTAAAATTACAAACAATGTTAAAAAAATATATGTTGCATCTAAATAACAAAAAGAACTTACATATATTTTGAATCAGAAATGTGCAAAAATCAAAATTATACACAAAAGAATACAAAATGTTTTAGTTCAACATCCTTCAACATTATGATATTACGTTGACATTACTGTATACAAAGACTACTGTCGCAATACTCTTGTTGCATGTTCCCGAAAACTATACATTGTAGGAATACCGTATTTTTACGCCTTAATGAAGACAGTCATTATCATTTTATAATTTATTTTAAACCTTAAAAACTCTTTAATTTTTATTGAAAAAATTTTAGAGTTTTTATTCGAGGCGTTTTCTCACTGCTTCTTTCTGTTAATTAAAAAGAAGGTCTCAAACAATACGAGTATGTACTAATTTTTTCCTGTCTACTTAACAGGCAATTCAATACATTCTGTAATTTTTCAATTGTACAATTCAAATTATTTTTGTAAATTTTGAAAAATGTTCAATTAAATTTTGAATATCGATAATATTGTTATATTTTACGATAAAAGAATATTTTTGTTTGGTCTAACATTAAAAAGGTTTTATTACAAATATGCATGTAGGCACATATTTATGGTTTAACAATGAAAATCAAATTTCTTAAATTTATTTTCTATTTTAAATTTTTTTTTGGATATTTTGAATTGAAAATGTACTTAAAATGATGATTAAAAAAATTTTGCTCCGAAAATGTTAACAACCACTAAATAAATATCATTTTTTTAAATTTTAAAATAACAATTTTTTTTTTTAATAAATATAGAAAGTGTTATATAAACCCAAAAGAAAAAAATAATGTTTTTTCTAATGTATTTTGTTGTTTTTTTTTTTAAATTGTTGTTTATGTATTTTGGTTTATTTTTAATTTTATTGTTGTTCCCTAAAATTTGAAATATTTAAGAACCCGAATTATCGAATCACAGAATTTATAGATTAATATATATATGTATGTATGTATATATATAAATTTATAATTTCCTAATCTTAATTTATTTTCGAGAATGAAAATTTCTATTTTATGCATATACATTTAACTATTATCGTTACAATATTTATCTTTCTTATATTCAAATATATATTAAAAGATTCCCTAATGAAAGATATTTTATTGACCAAAAGAATTAAAAAACTCTTTATATTTTATAAAATTTCTGTAATTAAGTCAATTATCAGATATTTTGTAGATAAGTCATTCCTATTTTCATCATATGTATATTTTATTTTTAAAATTATTTTATGAAAATATCCAAGGATGTTTTATATTTTGGACATTTTGAGAAATTTTATAGATGCAAATTATAATTAGTTATTTGAAATTATTACTATATACATAATTATAATTTCGTTAATGTTAATGCATAGAGTTTGATTTTAATAATCATCTAAGCTCAAAATAGCAAGACATCTCAAAGTGCTTTACGATGTGAAAAATTGAAAATAATAATTAATTTATGCATAGGTTTAGTTAACCTTCATTACGACAATCAAAAGAATGTGACCATATAAATTCATATGAAATGCCATAGAAAAGAAATTTAATGCAACTTGAAAAATAATTGCCAATCTTAATATGAGTTCAATCTTTAATTGCTCCTTAAAATAATATGTAATTTTGTGTTTCAAATATTTTCAATTTTCATTTTGAAACAAAAGATTAATAAAATTTTTCAAAAGTAAATCAGTTTCAATAATGATAAGCTTTACTGAAATGCGTAGATGATGAAAACTTCTATACATACATTAATTTTTCATTAACATAATGAAAATATCGTTGTTAAATTTTCCAATCCGACAAAAACCCACCTTTCAATCTAGTAAGTATAGTAATGTTTAAATAATGTAGTGTTTAAGTCTTGTCTCGTATATTAAGTACTAGTTGAAATTGTATGATTGTTTGGAAGAATTTGTAATAAAATTTATATAACTAAGAGTTTTTGTATAGTACATGAAAGTCAATAGAACATCCTGATCAAAAATTGTTTTTTTTTTTTAGTTTTGGTTTTTTTAGAATTTAGAATTTTTGTTTTTGTTTGGTTTCTGTGTGCATATGTACATGTTTAGTATACATAAAATGTATTTTATATCTTGTTAAGTTAAATTTTTTCATTTAAAAATGTAATAAACTTATTTTAAGGTTTTTACAATTTCAACAATATATAATTTTTTTTTTTCTTACTTTTTTACAATTTCTTATATTTATCGTTATTTTAAATATAATTTTAAAGTCGTTATTGGGAAGGTAAATTGTGTGTATGTACACATTTTTAGACATATTTTTATATATTATGTTAAAATTTAATTTTCACGTTTCCGTGGATGAATATGGAGATTTTACCAATAATAATTCATTATAATCTGAATCCTCGTTACCACTATTATCTCGTTGATCCATACGACGACGTTCAGATATAATTCTTAAAATTTCTGCTGAATCGGATTTGCTCATACCTTCTTGATATTTTTCAGTAGATCCAGCAGAAATTTTTGAATCAATTATTAATGGTTTAGAGGATGATACTGTAGATGATGTTGGAAGCAATAAAGAGCTTTCATCAATATCTTGATCTTCATCAAGAGCTTGTTGTTTAAAAAGCTGTTTAGTGCTACCAGAACGACTTCTTGGCGGCATATTTCTTGAACTTGTGGGTACTGAAAGGAACCTAGCCGGTTGTAGACCTAACGGTGCTTGATCAATTGATAATGAACGTCCGAATGGTTTACGTTCAGGTTTAATATTAATCGGTGATAATTCGTTAACAGGCTGTGTTGTCATTGGAATCTGTGCTGAAGTTGGTGTTATGGTCGCTAATGTTGATGAGGGTGTTGATACTCCTATTGTTGTTACAGTTGCAGAAATTTCTGATTCTAAGTTAGGAACATTTAAAGAGAGACATCGTTCATCAACCGATTTTGTTTTAAAATGTGGACTTAGTAACATCATTCTTTTGGCAGTGCACACATCACTTTTAACGCTTTGTTTATCTGATTCTAATGGTGGACCAGTTTCACTTTCAGTACTTTCAAATATAGTACCGCGTCGTTCAAAACCCCAAGGCAAGTTATCGCAACTCATACGCTTTTTCTCTAATTTACGACGTCGAATACCATGTTCATCTAAGGATTGCTCTCTTGAGAGCATTTTTGCTCTAATAATGGAACTACGTCTAGTTTTGGAAATAGATGATAATGATGATGGTTGGATTCTAGGAACTCCAGATGTTAGAGATGAGGCAGATGATAATGATGGTACATTTAATTCTTGATATTGTTTTGATAATCTTCTAGCTCTATTTAAAAGTAATTCACTACCATTACTACATGCAGCTGTAGCGGCAGCCACTACTTCTGCCGCTACTTCTTCGGATACAACTTTTTTGGTTTTAGGGTCACCTATAATGGCTGCTAATTGTTCTGATGCAGGTTTAACAAGTGTTTGTGATTGTGATTGTGATGGTTTTGTAGCTAACATTGGAGATTTTACATGCTGTGTGGAAGAAGTGTTATATGCATTTGCGTTAGCTAATAAATCATTAAGGACAGGATTTAAATACTGGATTGTCTGGCGCCTTTGCGTGTTTGTAAATTTTTTATCTAAAGATGGTGTACTATAAGTGAAATTGGCCGGGAGCGATGATACTTTCTCTAGAGGACGTTTTTGAGTATTCTTTTTTTGGTTTTGCAATTGCAAACATAAAGCTTGCTCCTCTTCGAATTCTTGCTCCCGGACTAATTCACGTTCTAATTCAGTTTCCATGTCTAATTCGTCCTCCATCTGTTTATGGCTTTCTTCTAAGTGCTTCATCAGGACGGCGACAACCACGTTAACTAATACAAATTGCGCCATTAAGACAAATATAACGAAAAATATTGGTGCAATAATGGAGCTAACACAGCAATTTTTCACACAATCAGCGGAATCATCACAATCATCACGCAACGTATCTTTCATAATACCGTTCCAATTATCACCGGTTGCGACACGAAATAATGTCAAAAATGCCATGCCAAAATTAGCAAAATGAGCATGTTCTCCTAATCCTTGGCATGGTATTTGATCTGAACATTCTAGACGCCCGAATAGTTCGACTCCTAATGCAGCAAATATAAAAAACAACAAAAAGAATAGCAGTCCTAAATTACCAACTTGTGGAAGCGCTTGCATGACGGTATCCAGAAGCGCTCGAATACCCTTTGCCATTTTAAGTAGTTTTAATACACGTGCTATTCTTAATACTCGCATAACACGTATTATTGTTGGATTAATTGGAATAATATTTGTTTCTAATTCCTCTAAAACTATACCAACTATACTCAATATAACTATTCCGACGTCAAGCTGGTTCCACTTGTCTTTTAGATATAAACGCCAGCCAAGTGCAACTAGCTTCATAATTGCTTCTAATATAAAAACAGCTGTAAAGAAATAGTTGAATATTTTTAATGCATATTCAAGCGCAACTGGCATCATATAATATTCCATTGCCATTGTAACAACATTTAAACCAATAACAGCAGCTATCGCTAAATCGAAATATTTTGAAGTCACCACATTATGGACAAACATACGTGTCGGAGAATAGTTTGTGTAATATGGTGGCTCATGCATTCGACGACGCTTTTTTTCCATTTGTAACGCTCTTTTGGCTGCTCTACGTATTTTCTCTTCTTTTTCTTGTTCTTCACGGCAACGATGAAAATTTTCTACAACTACACCAACAAACATATTTAGCACAAAGAATCCAACTAATAATATGAATGCGATAAAATATAATAGGCGCCATTCATTATAGTTGACGATCGGCTGTTGATCAACACCAACAGCATCCAATCCTGTATACATGATATTCACCCAGCCGTCACGGGATGAAAGAACAAATAATGACATTAACGCTTTGCCTAGATCATCGAAATTATATTTTCGATTTATCCAAGCATTGCCAGCATGCGACAGACAATCACTTTTATTACGAACATCTTTTATGTGTTCACCTTCACAATAATAGAAGGTGCCTTTGAATAGCTGAACACCTAATATGCCAAAAATGATAAAGAATGTACAGCATATTAATACAATATTGCCAATGGGTCGAAGGGACGATAAGAGCGTTTGAACAACTAATTTCAAACCTGGGGCCCGGTTAATTACTCGTAGTGGCCTCAAGGACCGAAGTAGTCGAAACACCTGTCGTAATTTAAAGAAAACGAAAAGAAAGAAAATATAAAATTATTACTAAAACAAAGAAAAATTGTGTATGTATTAATTATAAAATTAAAATGAAAAATATATTTAAAAATCTTAAAAATTCTTCAAAATGAAATAAAAGCGCATAAATTTTACAGATTTCAGTTGTCAGAGCTGTTTAATTGCAAAGCTTGAAAATTCATTCTATTAAGAAGTCAATGACACCTGTTACAAAAATAAAATAGCTTTCAAAAAAAGAATAATGCATTAACATAATTATTTTAAAATTCCAATCCAACTGATTAGTTTAAGCTTAAAACATATAAATGTAAAATTTCTTTTGAATAAAATATAATCGAATTCCACAATGTACTTATGAGAAATCAAATTGTAATCTCAAAAAAGTTAATATATAAAACAATGTAACTGCTCCAAAATTAGCAATCATATTTTAAATGAATTATTTGTACTTACTCTCAAAATCCCAAATATTCTTGGACTCGATTCGCTAATTAACGACATTAGCAAATCGATTATTGATATGGTTACCAGTGAACCGTCCATAATATTCCATCCTGATGTGAAATATGCATCTGGACCATAAAACATACCTGTCGCCACGACCTTTATTAATTGAATATAAACATTAATTATATAAATTTATGTTTTTGCTTAATTATATGAGGAAATTGCAATTACTTTTATAAACATTTCGGTTGTAAAAACAACTGTGAACACGTAATTGGCTGTACTTAGAAAAAGCCTTTCAGTACTTGTTGGAGGAATATTAGGTCTTTCCATTGCCAGTGTTATACAATTTAAAGCAATGAATAGCAATACAACATTGTCAAACCATTTTTGGTTCACAAACCAGCTGCAACCTTGGCGAAAGCTGAAATTAAAAATATTAAGTTCGAAGCGTTATGAATTTTCACAACCTTATCTCTTAATTTCTGAAAATTTTAACTTGTATTCGGTTGATTATTAACCTTATTTTAGAAAATTTAGTTATAAAAAGAGCTCGAAAATCTTACTTTTTATATGTTTTTGAGTAGTTTTTACTTACCGATTTGTTTCTGGAAAAATATAAAGCGAATATGTGTCACGTTCTTCAGTAAAATGTTTCGGCTTCAAACGTTCGATTAAAATTTTAATTTTTGATACGTGTTCAGAAGCTTGACTAATGTGTTGAGTAATTGAAATTTTCTCTGGTAGGGTAACATCATCATCATTTTCAGGTTTTGTGCTTTTACGACGGTGATGATGATGGTGATGGTGTTTGTGATGACGACGATGATGATGTTGATTTTTTTGATCAGCATTTGACTCAATTTCATTTAAACTTGATAGAGATTTTTCCCATTTTTCCAAATCGATTTTAGAATTACTAAATGCCATCGATTTACGATTTTCCATACTATAGATATTCAAGTTTGAAGATTTTCCTAATGCTAATTCAATTGATGACATTCTGCGTGTTGAGTAATTTTTTATTGAATTATGTCGATTTAAGTTTTGATAAAATTGCGAATTATTATATACACATGAAGAAGATCGTCGACTAGTAACTGCACTTATACTACCAGCTCTACTATGTCCACTACGATATCGGCTGCAAGTCGATGACGTTGATAATCTTCTTATGGAATTTTGTGGACTTAATTTATTTGTATCTTTTGTATCATTTTGTATACGGTTTGCTGATTTTAAGAAACTATCATTACGAGCAGCTAAACTATTTAATTGTGAATTATCACGTCCATTATTTAATACAATATTGTCTTCTTCAGTTTCACTTCCAGCATTTTTTTTCTTTTTTTTAGAACTGGAACGTCGAAAACGTTTAAAACTAGAGCTACGTTGTACTTGAGCTTCAACAATTTGCTCTTTTTCATTATTAGCGTCAACTAAATTTTTTTTATCATCTGTTGTGAAATTACCATTTGTACCATTACAACTACCAATATTATTGTTAATACCATTACTAATGTTCCGGTCACTCGAATCACTTATATGTGGTAAGGTATCATTTATGTTGCTTCCAGATTGCAATGGCACTGATAGGCTTGTTTTACTATTACTAGGCTCTAAATTACTAATGCTAGTATTGCTTCCTATGTTAATTTGTTGGCTATTTGATTGTATATTCAATGGTTTACGTTCTAATTGAGGTGAAGGTGGGATAAATTCAATAGATGGCAATCTTTCAACTTCCATAACTTTTTGACCACCTAACAAAGCTGGTGGCTTTAAGAGTGATGGCGAGCTAATACTCTATGAAATTGAAAAGATATTATAAAAATTAATTATTCTTGTCACACTATAAAATTGTAAGTTATATTCAACTAATAAACATGGTAAAAATTTTTTTAGAGCAATTTGTAAACCACAATTTGTTGACTTAGAACCTCAAAATCCACAAAATTTTAAGATTTGTGAATGCAATTTTTCTTTTGTGGCGAGAACAATTGTTTTTAAGGGAGAATTATATTTTACTTGCTCTCAGTTTTATTTTTGAACCTAAAAATGGTTCTAAACACCAAATTATTTTTTTTTTGTTGTTTTGCATTTTTCAGATTAGACAAAAGTAAATCACATAGAAAGTGAAACAAATAATATCTGAAGTTCCACTTACTTATATGCAAGTAAGGGAAAGGATGAACAAAAGGTTAAAACGAAAGTAGTGGCAAAAAATAAGCGAGAAGAAATGTAGTTTTTGGAGTTATTTATTATTGTTAAAAACGAGTTTGTGTCCAGCAAAGTTATCACAGTTTCGGATATAATAAAACTCCTTAGTATACTATAAACATACTCATATGTCAGCAATGACAGTGAAAACAGAAATAGCAAGGGGTCTAACTATAAACATTTTATTTATATGCATGTATACATACATTACGTTTCGTATAACATTTTAATAATTAAATACATTACCTTTTCCGGTTTCTAATATTAATTAGAAAATTAATTTACCTTTTAGGAATTCGATACTAAATATTATTGACAAATACAATGTCCAAAAAAGTTAGTAAGTTGAAAATCGAAGAATGAATTTTTTTCCAGTTACAAATTAATTCACACGATAGCTCTTAGTGAGAACATAAGAATTCAATATGAGCAAAATTTCTCTTTTCGTGATATATTATACATCTGATTAGCAGAGTATCATAACAATTTCATATTTCATTAAATTGCATAATTTGGTATAATAAAATATTTACCTTTCCGATATTTTCACTACCATTATCATCCATAGCTTGCAATTCTTGTTGACTCCAATTTTTAAATGATGCACCAGATTCCAAAGTTGTGCTCGGAGAATCTTGTGGAGTTGCAGCTGTTGTCATAATTATTGGTGGATCACGAAGTGCTCTTAAATTAGCTAATTTACTAGCCTCCGGTCTCCTTTCTTTAATTGAAGATGTCTAAATTTTGTAAAATATTAGATAAATTATATAAGACTTATAAATTTCTTATCAAAATTAAGTAATTATTCTCAGCGAATTTTTCATTTTTGTCCATCGATTACATCACAAGTATATATTTACAATTACAACATATTTATGTACCCATATAGATTCGCAAATTTTATTTTATTTTATGGCTAATTAGATTAAGGAAATCTTGCGAAGATTTGAAGTAATTTTTTGTAGTGTTTTTGTAAATTTTTTTCATTTATATTAATATAAAATCGAAATAGAATTTCCGAGATTAATACTCTGAGAGCATAGACATTTAGGCAATTTTAAAAATCCAAAATTTAATTTTAAAAAAAATTTCAATAAAAAACCACAAAAATTCATGCAAAAAACAACAAATATGTGCAATTTTTATTAGGATAAGTGCATTTTTATTTATTATACATTTTTTTTTTTAATTTTCTTATAATTAATTGTACAAGGATAAAAATAAAGAATAACATTCCAAACATTATCCATTATAGAATTAAAGTAAATAATGCTCACAGTTTTTTTGATTTCCATTAAAGAATTTGTATAAAATTAATATACTTTTAATCTCATTAAAAAAGTAGTAAAAAATTCTATTTCCATGGATTCAGTTCAGTTCCGAAATCTAAAATTAGCCATATTTTCTATTCTTCTACATAGTAGTACATTTATTTTAAAAGGTGCTATTTGAAATATTTTGTTTTTTAATAGTGATATTTTTATTTTTGATGTATTATTAAATTATATATTTTATACAAAAAAAAAATAAGTTAATAACCGTGTAAGATCTATTAACTACAACTCCGATTTTACCTTTTTTAAACTTTTTATATCATCATCAATTATTTTACTGATATCCTTATCAGAAACTTTCCTTATAGCTGATGTGTCATTTAGTTGATAATCCAAGCTGGGTTGTAATAATCTTTGCTTCTGTATATTACATTTGGGCTCTGAGGTATAATCCATATTTTCATTTGCCTATATTTACGTTAAGTTGTTTAACAATTCACAATTATTGATTTCGTTGTTAAGACGTAGGCACGTATATAAGGGTTTAATTATTTTTGTTTGTTTTCGATTTTGTTGAAAATATAAAATTTAAAAATAAATTTTAAAAATAAAATAAAAATAATCAATTTATTTTTTTTTTTTATTTAATACTTTTCTCAAATCCTCTGCACTATGCCACTTATTTCGAATTTCCGAGTAACTTCCATTTGTTGATGAAGATTCGGAAGGGCTGCGTTCAGATTCATCGAATATTCCATCACTTAAATTTTCAGCTGCTAAATTTTCTTCACGTAATTTTTTTACTAATTCACGTTGTTCACGTTCACGCCTTTCATTACGCTAAAGTAATTTATTTGTTTGGTTTTTGTTTTTATTATAATTTTAATATTATCTTTTTGATTTATATTTTCATATTGTTAATACAAATAAAATATTCAATATTATTTTTAAAGATAATACAATTTTTGTATACAAGTATATATGCAAAGTGACATTAACTACGCATAAACCTGAGAAATTTTGTTTTCAAAAATTCTACAAAAATAATAATAAAACCAAGTAAAAATGTTAAGTAGATAACGTTTCTTACACGCCACTCTATCGAAACTGCATGGAAATGTCTGACCTATAATTGGACCTATAATCTGATAAAATAATTAAAATTGACAGTTGGAGTTCTATGGCAGCCGCTCAAACCGGTCAAGCCATTTCACTAAAATTTCAGGGATATATGTGACCTATGTGACCTAAGTTTCATAAATCTAACATTATTTTTTTTCCAAATATTTCAAATTAGCTTTTGGAGTTGTGTGGCAACTACCCAAACCAGGGCAGCCATTCGATTAAAAGTCTCATAGTAGATTGTAATTGGATACACCTTTGCAAAATTTGATATGAATATCTTTATTAGTTTTTGAAATTTTTAAAAAAACCTCTTTGACTTGTATGGTAGCTACCCGATCCGTTGTCCTAAATGGTCCAATTACAATAGCAGCCGTCGTTTGCACAAAAGAAACAACTTGTGAAAGTTGCCGATTGCGTTATTTGGTTTTGAGTTGTCGTGCGATCGGACAGACGGTTATAGCTAAATCAACGCAGAATTTTACGCTGAGCAAGTGGTTACAAACTCCATACCAAAGTGAATATACCCTTCAGAAAGGTGCAGGGTATAATAATGCAATAATGTTCGACCTCACATTGATTTTTCTTTGTGTTAATAACTAACTATAGATTTACATTGCAGCAGTTTTAAGGAGTTTTGAAAAAGCTCCTTAGTTGATTTTTGGCGCTGATCAATTTAGTTTTGCAACAAGCATTATTAAAGAATTGAAAAAAAATTATATAATAAGTTGATTGTTTTTGTGTATTTTCGTATTATTGACTTCTCAATTCAATAGAATCAATGATTCTAGTAACCAAAAATCAGACCTTTTGAAATGTTCTAACTTCACAAAAAAAAAAATAATCTTCCAATATTTTTCTTTATGGCAGTTCCCATAGAGTTGAATTTAAAAAATATGCCATAAATATATTATGTTTGTAATGTTTGTATACAAAGTATAATATAATATACGTTACTTATTAAAGTTTTTGTTTAAAAAAAAAATTGACGAAAACTAAAATCGGACACAGTCTGTCTTTTTTCGGATTAACGTTTCATTTCATAAAATTCATATTATATTTTTATTTTATATTTATAACAAATCTAAAATAAAAATATCATGAACGCGTCACGATGAAACTACCAATTCACCGGAATGACATTTATTTTTGACATTAAATATGGTATGTATTTTGCGTGGTGTGGTCTATATACTTATGCATTTTATCGTTTCCTTCTTTTCTTTTATTTAAAATGAAAATAATGATAAAATCAACAAGCTAAAAATCAAAAGGAATTTAAAAAATTTTACAAAAACTATTAATTATTGTCACTTTCATTATTATTATATAATTATTACTATATATAAATGTAAGTATGTGTTATTATGTATTTCTGTTGCAAATGTTTTGTTTTTTTTTTTAATATTTTACTAATAAGATAATTACTTCTGAACTGAATCCTTCGACGAGAATAGCAACCAATAAATTGAACAGAACATAATTTCCAAATGTCATTAAAGCAACAAAATAAAGAGCTGCCCAATGGCTTGTTTTTTCCATTCCATTAAATAAAACAACATTCCAGTCTTCTTGGGTGAGAATCTAAACAAAATTTTTTTTTTTTTTTTTTGTGGATTTTAAATTAAATAAAAGTAAAATAGCTAATAACAATCGTAATAATTTAGAAATAAATAATATTTTTTCTTCGTTATTGGAAGGTTTATGGTAGGATTGAAAAGGGATATGGATATAGAAAATAATTTTAAAAATAAATTAAGCAAGCATTTATAATATATATATAAAAAATTCTTATTGTGTTTTAAAAATTTTATTAAATTAAAAATAATAATTGGGGTATAAAATATAACTAAAAAAAAATATATATATATATTTTTAATAACACATTAAGAAATATGTAATAAATATAATATTTGAAAATTTTTATGAATATATCAATGTTAAAAATCTACTTAAAAGCAAAAATAGCAATCGAATTATGTAATTTATATTTAATTGTTTTTTTTTTTTTGCCTCTTTAATTACTTCATATATAATTTAACATTTTTAAAAATGTATAGCAGTAGTAGAGATAAGACGTATAACATCTCTACTACATTATATACATGCATTATTAAAAAATATTTATTATATATGTGTTTGGAACTGATTTAAAAAGTGATTATATATAGGGTCTTCTCATTTTTCTAAAAAAAAACAAAAGTGGGTATTATGTTTACGTTTGTAATCTATTTTAAATTTTTTATTTTAATTTAATATTTAATTATGTAGATACACAAATATAATAATTATTAATTTTTTAATTAAACGATACACAATTTCAATGATTTAATAGATTTTTTTTTATTTTAAACAAAATTTTATAATACGTTTTTGAGAAAAGTGATTACTTTAAATTTTTCATAAAGATATAAGGGAATAAAATATTAAAATATTTAATATTTATAAAAATTTAAAAGCTTTTCATAAATAAATAATTTTAATTTTTATAATTATTTAAATATATTTGTAAAAAAATATAAACCGATTCAAACCAATAAATTATATTTAAAATATTATGAAATAATTAAATATATATTTATTATTTAAATATAAAAAATGTATATTAAATTGTTAAGTTTAATTATATTCAATTAAAATAAAGTAAATATTTAATAAATAAATATGTATATATATATATATATATATAATACTAATATATAAGGTTTAATTAATATAAATAAAGGGGATTTGAAAAAAAAAACAAAATTATTATTAATTTTTTTTTTTATTTTGGTTTTGGATTTGAAAAAGCTTAAGCGTGCATTTCCAAAAATTAAAATTTATTTTTTTTTAAAAATGGCGAAATTAAATTTGCCATATATAATATAATATGAAATATATAATATAAATAAAAAAAATATATATATTTTAACGAATATAAACGAATATGTGTAAATAATAAATTTTTTAATTAAAAAAATTGAAAGAAACAGCCTCAAAAATTTTATATAAAATTTTAAATTAAAATGAAGCGTAGCGGCGACTTAAGATAAAAGCTTTGTTGTATTGCTTTTTATATTTTTTAAATTTAAATTCATCTAATATTAAAAAAGTTTTTTTTTTTTTTTAATTATTTTAATAAATACAATTATATATTAACGTAAAATGTTAACATTATTAAACATATTTTTTTTATAGACAAGCAAATAAGCAGATTTTTTTTTTTTTGAGTTTTTTTTGTTAAATATTAAAAAATCTTGATAACAAAAAAAAAACTTCTATAATAGTTGTTTTTTTATTTTTTGTTAAAAGAAATAAAAATATGTCTGTCTGTTTGTGTGTATTTATAACTTTGAACAAAAATATTATTAAAAAAATTATAAATGTAAATTTGTTAAATATTTTTTTTTAATGATTTTAGTATGATATTTTGTATATAATGTAAATAATTAAAAAATTTGAAAAATTTATTATTGTATACGAGTATTTTTTCGAAAAAAGAAGACATACTTAGCATTGATTAAGAATAAAAATTTAAAATAATTTTTAAAAGTTAATAAAAATTGTTAATTTTTTGTTAATTATTTTAAATATAACAGATAATTCAATAAGTTCAATAAAAAATTCACAGATTTTAAAATATTTTAGATTTGTTTTCAATAATAGGCTCACAGCGTTTTGAATTGAACTACCCAATATTATGGATATAATAAAAAAAAATCTGACGTGGTCAGCACATAACCGACCGCATTGTGTATTGTCTAGTTAAATGAAAGTGTTACAGAATATTATAAAAATATCTGTTAAATACTTCTTTCCAATTTTTAGGACATTAGTAAGCTTATAGTTAACATACCTAGAAAAATGTAAATTTGGCTCTTAGTAGAGTGTCGCTTTGTGCTACCCGAATTTCCTGAAATGCTCGCTAGTTAGTTTCGGTAACAACCAGAACTCAAATATCAAATTTCAGGAAATTCCATCAATTCGTTCCGTAGATATGGTGAAAAATGGAAAATTTATATGTTCATTGCTTTAATATGAGGAATTCATATATTAAATTTCAATGAAATCGGTCGATTATTTCGCTTGATATACACAAAAATGTACATTTGGCCCGTAGTAAACGTCTAGTTGCCGATGTCTGATTTCTTCCAAAACTTAGGAATTTTTGCGGACGGTCGAGCTAAGCTTATATATAAAATTTCAAGTAAATCGGTTGAATATTTTCTTCAAAATGTTCAAAAATGTAAAACAGGCCCGCTAAAAAGTGCAGTTCCCGAGGCCTGATATATGCCAAAAGTTGATTAATCCGTGCCATGGTGGAAATAAATTTACATATAAAATTTCATCAAAATCGGTTCAACCGAATACACGCGTGACAGGTTGCTAAAAATAGTTTACTTACACTTCCCTACTATAGAGAAGTACGTTCCCACCGAAAACTCGATATGCAATATTTTTTGCCATCACATAACCTACCTATTGTTTACACAATACGGTCGGCAAATATATGGGAACCCATAACAATACATACGTTGCCAACACGTACTTGTTATGCTGCTTCATGTTGATAAACTTTAAAAATTATTGAGTATTATCAATTATACATATATAAATGAAAAAAATGTCAAACGTTTTTTTTGACGCTTTGTATTCACTTCGTTCGACTTATCCCTTACCCCAAATTAAAATAGAAAGTGAAACAAACATGTTAAATCTGAACCAAGACTGACAAAAATATAGTTCTGGCTGGGCACAGAAGACCTAAGAGAGAAAAAAAACTTCCATTTCATTAAACAAAAGAAAAAATTTGACTCTCGAAGTGTCATTTGTTTAAAAATACTTTTACACTTTTTTTAGCAAAATCACTAAAAAATAGTGTCTAGATCTTGCATTTTTGATGCAAGATGAAAATGTATTAAGAATTTTTTGAAATAAATAAAAAAAATTTAAGTTTTAATTGGACAAAACAAAAATACTTTGTGTAGTTATTTTGCGCAAATAGAAAATCTTGAGACTTTTCATTCAAAAAATCAATTAAAATTATTGGTTCACGCATTTTTATAACAGGCATAAGAATCTCATTTTAGAGCAGAACTAAGAGAAATTGAGAGCACCTAAGACGTATTCCTATGATGTATTTTAATAATTAGATTTACGTTTTATATGAAGACTACAATATGGTAAACTAAGAGATATTTCGCAAATCACCAACTTCTTAAAAGGATTCTCTTTTAATAATATAAATTACTCAAATTTTGAGGAATATGCTTAATGCAGCTGTATAATTTATTAATAAATTTTTTAAGTGATTATATTGTAATTAGACCCGCTAATTAAGAAAAAGGAAATCTTCATCTCCATAATTAGTCTCCAACATGGATATTTAAAACAATTTACTAAACAGTTTGTAAATTTAAAAAAAAAGTAGAAAAAAGTGCATATTGTATTATATTTTATCAAATTAAATACGTGATAATCTCGATAGTATGGCTTTTGCTTATCTCAATCACAAAAACTTTTACTTTTTAAGAAGATTGTAAGGCGCCAACGTAACAACATGAGAAACGCATAAAAAAATTCTTTCTGAAGTCTATAAGCTGGTTAATTGTTGAATTTTACTTTATTTTTATAAAGCTATTTTATATAGTTCCCTTTCTTAAATTATTAGATAAAATATTTAAATTAAAATCTTATTAAATTATTAGCAATTAAATTAAAATAGTATATTAGTTTTCTCCTCGTATACGTTTTCTAACTAAAAAGTTATATATGTTAAAAAATTTTTTGTTTTATGTGTCTGTTTAAAAAATAACCAAATAAGATTTAAATCAAAATTGAAAAACAAAAAACTAAACAAAAAATTTTTTTATTGTTTGAGTAAAATTATGAATTAAAATGTTTAATAAAAAATGCTTACTTGAAAAACAGTAACAGTGGCCCATAAAAAGTTGTTGAAATGCTTACGATCACATTCACAAAGTGGATGTTTGCTGATTATTTCCGGACAAGTACATTCCCTCTCTTGTCCAGTATCGTCCATGAACTTACAAAACTTACCACCAAATAGGTACATGCCAAGTATGCTATATATCATATATGTATAACATGTACATTATATATTTTATGAATTTGATTTTTGTATAATTTTCTTTGGAATATTTTTCTTTTTTTAAAATGAGTGTTAATTTTTTAATGTTACATTACATATATATTTTGAATATGTTTATGTATATTTAATTATATATATATATAAGTATATGGTGTCAAAAGAATTTTTTAAGTTAAAAATGTAAAGGTTTTGTGTTCAATGCTTAAAAAAATTTAATTTTGTTATTGTTTTTTTAGGGTTGTTCATATTTAAATGATTATAATGTTTGTAATTGTTTGTAACAATTTTTTAATATTATTTTAAATTATAATTGAATATTAAATTTTTAGTTTTTTTTTTTAATTAATTTTCAACTAATGAAATATGTTTATTGTTAAATTAAATAAATGAAAACTGAAAAATAAAAACTCAAGCTAAGTTAGGTAAAGAGAAAGGATTACTTAAAATATACTAAAAATGGTAATAATAAATAAATTTTAATAACTAAATTGTTAAAAAAGGAAGTTAAGAATTTAATAAACTAATATTGGATTTAAGCCATTTTGTTAATTTGTATTTATTTTGTAGTTATTGTCTTTAAATTCAACAAAAAAATGTTCTATATTCTATGTTTATAATATTTTAAAGTAATTTTTAATTGAAATATCGAAGTAATACATTCTTATAGTAAATTTTTGTGATATTTACGGTATTATACTACAACGACTGGTATAATTGGCCCAAGTGTACTATTCGGGGAACCTCGTCAAACTTAAGTATTATAAATTTATGAAAATTTTACGGTTTTTTTAACGTATTTTCAATTGAAATTTTGTGAATTATTTTATAAATTCGATCACGTTTGTGTATGTGTAATAGTACTTAGAAAAAATACATACAAAATTATGTGCTAAAGTTTTCAGTTTTCATTAAATTGAATGGAAATTAATAATGTATTTTTTATTTTATAGTAATAAACTATGAATACAATTTCTGGAAAATTATTTTAAATATTATTATAATATAATTTCATACAAGCCATATTTAGACAATTAAATATCACAATAATAAAGAGCTGTTTTAAGCAATATTAAGTAGATATTTGAAAAAACAGTATTACGGCATCTTTTAATTAACATTAATGACTCACAGAAATGAATGAAAATATGAATACTTAATTTCTCTCGTTAGTTAGAGCTTACAAATCTTGTTGGTTTAAGAATTAACATAGAGAGCAGATTTTAATGAGAAAACCGTATTTAAAATTAAGATTTTTTTTTTTTGCCTATAGCATTAGTTTTTTAAGTGTTTAAATTCTAATTGAAATAGAGCGAATTAGAAAAAATAATTAAATAAATTTAAAATAAAGCTTTTAATCATTTAATCTCTGATTAAATTTATTCTTTAAAATTGTTTATTAAATATATATTTTATTAAAAAATTTAAAATTGAATGTTAAATTAGCAATTTAACTAAAATCGATTAAGTTGTTAAATTTTTAAGATCTATTGAAAATTATGTTACAAATTTTTATTTGCAATACTATTTTTATAATAAGGCTTATTAAAAGAAAAATTAAACAGAAAATATTGAAAAAGAATTTATATGATAGCAAAAATAAACGCATCGATAAAATATATATATATATATATATATATATATATATAAAAAGATATTATTGAAAAATAGAATTATCAAAATTAATGGAAAATATAAATAAAATTGTAAAACAATTAAAAAATTTAAATCAATAAATAATATTTTGTATAATAATAATAATAATATGGTTTTGTAAAAAATTTTTATTATTTATAAATTTGGCACCTATTGCATTTTGTATACAGTACACTCTGTATATTACTATTCAAAATTAGTTCTTAATGATAAAATAATTGTATTCGAACTACATAATATAATATAGATTCAAATTAAATCTTTTATTTAAAAATATTTTTTTTTTTTTTTAATTTTTCTTAATTGGTGTATTAATTGGAAGGTTGTATAATAATATATAAATATTTTTAAACAATAAACAGAAAATGAATTGAGTTTTATGATTTTCAAAAAATTTGTTTTTTTTTTTATATATTTTTTTACATAAATAACATAAAAAATAAAAAAAAGTATATATTGTAAGTTTTTCTTTTAAATATATTTTTGCTTTTCTTTGTTTTTGTTTTATCATTATTTATATTTACTTTTCAACGTGTTTGTATATTTTTGATATTTTGGTATTTTGTTTATTTTATTGTTTTATATATGTATATATAAGAATGTTTTAGAAGATTTCTATATAATTATAATGTTTTTCTATTTCAAATAATTAAACAAAAAATATATATATATATATTTATATATGTATAATATATAAATTGATAAACTATATATAGTGAAAATTGTGTTAAAAATAACTTTTTCAAACTTTTTTAAAATTCAGTTTCAATATTGCAAAATTCATTGAAATTTTATGCAAAATAAAATAAAAAAAAATAAATGGTAGTTTTCAAATTCTTATATAAAATTTTAATAATAAATTTTTAAATGAAAATTAATAGGAAAAAATATAACAATTATATATTTTACAATTTTAAACAGTTTTATTTTACAAATTATAAAAAAAAATAAAATTGAAATTAAATGAACAAATATAATAAATATGAGAAATAATAAATTTCTAATTAAAATTGTTATACACAGTTAAATTATTATAGTAATATACATATACACTTAAAAAATAAATAAATGATTTTGTACATTTCAATTGAAAACGGTAATTTATATATGTAACCAAATTTTACAAAAAACATTATGATAATAAAATAAAATCAATAGACACGTAAAGTAGGGTCTAATAGGCAACATACATAATTGCTCATGAAATTTATTTTAAATCGAATATAATGAACTGACGTTTATGAAATGACCTTTCAGTATTGACAGTGTAAGGGCTCAGACAGGCATCTTAGTTTTATTTATACAATTGATGCTTGGTTGTAGAATCGTTACGCACAAATCTACCCAACTAAACTATTAAATTTGTAAAAGATTACAAACTGTTTGATTGCTTAATTGCATGCGACCATATAGTTGAATGTGTGAGCGCCTAAATATAAACCTACAGAATACAAATAAGTAATCAAACAGTTGCAAAATTAAAAATTCTATGTCTATATCAGCCCGAACTTGACTAATAATATTATTTATTAATCAGGTCGCTATTTATATATATGTATATATGTTGCTGGAGTAATTTGTTGGTAATTTATACTTTATAGTGTAATATATTTTGATGTTATACTTTTATAATTTATTATGGTAATATTAAAAATACGGTTTGTTTAACATTACCTTCTTTCCTTACGTATTTGAGAATAAACAATGATCACATTAATTCAAACTTATATAATTACATTTTTTATAATTAATTATAAATTAAAAATTTAAGATTTCGCAAAATGGGTATGAGTAATTAGCCTTAAGCTTTTTTGCAAATTAAAAAACGATTTATTTTTAAGAGTATATGTACATTTTAGATATTTATATTATAATATTTAAATTTATAAAAAAAGACATGTATAATTAATCTATATTTCAAAAAAAAAAAATATTGAAAATACATTTCATCGCATAATAAATATTTTTAAGTTAAAAATAATAATAACGATGATATAACAATTATTTTAATTATTTTTCATATTAAATAAAGAATAATTACTATGTGCAACATGTTGATAAACAACAATACATTCAACATTTTATTTATTACATAAAAAAAGTATGTATTTATATTATGTACAAGAGAAAATTTAAAATATTAATTATGCGTTTTTTTTACATTTGTATACAAGAACATAAATTTGCAAAATATATCAACAATACAATAATATCTAAAGGGGGAAAATAAAAGAAAAATGTATATATACATAATGATTTTGAATTGACATTACAATATTTATAGTATGAACACTTATAAGTGTTGTATAACATGTTACAAAAAAAATTTCATATTAAAATTTCTTAAATAGTACTTTTTAAAAATAAAAATAATGTCAAGCACACTTAAAGTCTTACAGCATGAAGAAAAGTGAATTACATACTATATATTTCATAATTATATATATATATATATATATACTATATTTTATATCTCTATTGAAGAAATTAAATGTCCGGCAAAAAACGTCTCCTTTAATACAAAAGTAATACAAAACAAATATTTCAACTGCAATATCATGAATAAAGATACACATTTTTTTGTGGGGAATAGTTACAAAATTATTGAATTTGACATAAAAGTGAGTATTTATCACATATTCAATAGAAATCTAAAAATGGTGACAGATCTGACTTTAGTAATAGCGAAACTAATCCAAAGTCAAATATTTATTTTTAAGATAGTATACAAGAAGTATGAATTTTTTTAATAACTTTCAAAGTATTTAGTCAGTTTAGTTGAAGACAGAATTATAAATGCTTCTACATTTCTCTATATGAAATTGTATACTGAGTGTGACATTTTCTAATTTTTTGTTTTTATTAGAAATTAAGTTTAAGTCATGCATAGTTTAGGAAATTGTTTCTAATAAATTACTTTATTAAAAAATAAACACTCAAATGTTGAATACATTTCTAAAAAATTGTGCTATTAAAAAGAGGTAGAACATTTTGGCTCAATTTACGTTGTAGTTAATTTTATTCTAATGTAATATTATTTTCCGTTGTATTATTGAATGAAGTTTCTAATAATATCGTACAATACACGATTTTTCTGATAGTATTGCTATTACGAGTAGAAATATCGTATATCGTACTATGTATTTTTTTCATAATAAGAGCCAATGTTACTTATGAATAGTTCAGATTAAAAATTATGTATTTTAAATTTTTCTGGTTTTGAAATAAATAATATGATAGGAATGGGATATAGGGTAAAGTAAATGATGACTTGCACCTGCCCGGAGATAGACTCTTTTTCACTGTCTGTGAGGTGTTCGG